GGGCTTTTGTCTTTTTTCAGCCAGACTAACTATGTAACTATTTCTGATATGGGACTAGGTCTAAGTGGTTAAAAGATGTCCCTGACTCTTTCTGAAAAACACACAGATGTGACCATGTCCCATAAGAAACCATGTTAAATGGACTGTAGTACATTGCTGCAAAAAGCACTAATAAAACTCAAAAAACCAGACCTAAGGAGGCCATTTATGAGCTGTTCATCCTGCAAAACTGCATGTATATTCTTTCTATGCAAATGCTGCAGAGCCTGAATCTTGCCAGGCTAATTTATCGTCAAGTCGGATGTTCTATATTCAAAAGCATAAATCAGGAAAATACCACGTTATCACCACTAGATGGAGCTGACAATCATAGTGAAGTATTTATTTCCTCATCAGCGCCATCTAGCTGCCATATTGTGGCATTTTCTTGATTCTCGCCCTTTTTAGGGATGAAGAACATCTGGCATGGAGAGAAAGAAGCCTAAAAACAGTGGATGTTGCCAGCATTTGCACAGAATGAATGTAGGACGAGTGAAGGAAGAATAGCTCTGCATATTTCTATAAATATACCCCAATGTATTGTGTATTAGGTGTATAGTTGTACACTATATTGCTGGTGTGTCGGCATGTACAGTACTGAGTGTAGGGGTGTCTTTGTGAATGAATAGCACCACGCCATACAATGTGTTGGCCATTGTAGTGACATACTGTGAAATGCCTGTTTACCACCCATTACCGCAACACATAGGTATGAAGCCAGCCTGTAGCATCGACTCTACCTCAGAACGAAATTTCAGTTATGGCTGGATGGTGGTGAAGATGGTGGAGGAAGAATATGCAAGTCTGCATGTAAAATATTGAAATTATAAGTCCTAGTCACAGAGCTATTTTTCTTTTGTTACATTATTATTGTTATTATGTTACAATATTATTATTTTTTTACATAAGCGGTTTCTGTTTGCATTTTGCAGAAACTCAGTACAGTCCATTTAACATGATTTCCTATGGGACATGTTCACACCTGTGCCTTTTCACCTGGTGCGTAAAGGGTCAGGATCTGTTTTTGAACACAAAAAGTTGCATTTTTGGTTCCATAGACTTCAATGGAAATGCTGCAGAGAAGCATGTATTGCATTTTTGATGCATTTTAAATCTGCCTAGCAACAAGAAAAATTTATAAAATGCAAAACGTATCAAAAGCATGGCAAAAACCCAAAACACAATGCAGAAACGGCACCGATGCAACCTGCATAGGTGTGAACCTGGCCTTAGGTGGAAAGAAGACACAAATCGAGGTCCTTGCATTGGGTCTTATTTATACTTGACAATGTATGTTCTATAGCTCATCTGATATAGCAGTTTTTTTTTTTTAGCTCTGGTTCACACTGCTGCGACTTCTAGTGCAACTTGCTGCGACCTGCAACACAGAACATATTTCATAGTTACATAGTTAGTCTGACTGAAAAAAGACCAAAGTCCATCCAGTTCAACCATTAAAAAAAAAAAAAAGTTATAATCCTATAGCCATAGTTGATCCAGAGAAAAAAAAATTGTTCTTGCGCTAGTTTTCTGCGTCTTTGGCGCAACGTGAGTGCCATAGAATGTTAAAATCACAAAAGTCACAAGGTAGTCATATCTTTGTCCTATCTTTGCAACTCTGGCTGCAACTTCAGAGGTTTTTTTTTTTAAAGCCAAAATTGCAAAACATAAAAATTGCATGAAAGTTGCAAGCAAGTCGCAATGCAAAGTCGCACAGAAAGTTGCACAACGTTGGGGTCACAGCCATGTGAACCGAGCCTTAAGGTTCGTTCCACAAAGATGCATACCACCCTTACACTTACATAAAAAAAAATGGAATATGGATTTTTAAGGTGCCATATACACAAGTCATAGAATCATAAAATGTCTATTTATGTCAACTGCTTACAAAAAAATCTTTTGAAACACATAAAATTTTTTAAGCCCATCTCTGGGCAAAAAAAAAAAAATGTTTTCCTGTGCCTTCACACTGCACTGGTCACCTACTCATTTTGTCTATGGGTGAGCAGAAAGCTTATATTCACCCGATCCCTCGTTCTACCGGATAACAGCGCTCCCCCACAGTCCAGCAGTGGACTGTTCCTAGTCTGTGGGGCCTGCTTTGGGCTCGATGATGTTAGGAAACAGTCCACACATCAAGAATGCTTGAACCTGAGGGTGCGGAAGCGGTCCTGTGCTAAGAGGGTCAGAGGATGAGGTAGGTATATCTCCTCTCTCCAGTTCCCTAGACAAAAACAAGCAAACGGGAATCGCCCCACTGAATGAGAAAACTTTTTTTTTTTTTGCCCAGAGTTGAGCTTTAAAGAAAATACTGTTCAGATTCAGATAACCATTCTCCATTAGCACCCACTTGCCACATGTGAGTCCATGAACATCCAAGGTTTCTCTGCTGAAAGCACACTCACGCTCAGGGCAGCTGTTAGAAACCACAGGGCCCCATACAGCCAACCTGACAGGGCCCCCCAAACCACAGGTCCCCACACAGTCAACTTGACAAGCCCCCCCCATTCCCACAAAAACACAGTTTACTATGCTTTTATTATGAATGAACACAGTGATTGATACCAATCACTCATTGTGTTCATTCAGGAAAGGAAGGGTCTGCTAAATGTGACATATTTACCAGACCCCCCCACTCTCCATCCTGAAGGATCCTATTGTATGCAGCCGATGGGAATGAGAGGAGGGAAGCCAGCAACATTACAGGGGTGGGGGCAGCAGGGGGAATTGTATGGTATACAGGGAGGGCAATGGGTGCACAGGGGTGGGGCAATTACTGTAACTGTTTCCCTGTATGGCCCTCTCTGCAGCAGCTGAAAGTTGGCTTCTTCTCTCCCTCCCGCTGACTTTCAGCTGCTGCAGAGAGAGCCGCCATACAGGGGATCGGTTCCAGTAATTGCCCCCCGCCGTGCTGATCACTCTACGCACCCACATCCAATTCACCCAGCTGCCTGGGCCCCGTACAGAAGGACTGGTGGTATCCCCTTAGCCACGGCCCTGCTTACACTCACGTATTGTAACCGAGCTGTCATAGACAGCTCCCAGTCTCTTCGCTCCCGATTATCTGACCAGCCAGTCACAGTGGTTACGTGATCAGAAACTCCGTCCTCTCCCCCAGTCCTATAGATCCACCTATAGGACCACTGAGGCTGGGCGGGAAGTGGTATATCTTGTTAAAATGACACTTTATTCAACTGTTTGCACAACAGCATGTTGCGACAACACTTTTTTGTCGATTGCAGTGCATTAAAATACAGACATGTCGCATTTTTATGCAGCATACCCCACTTCTTTGGTGTGAGCAGGGCACATAGAGAACAATTGTTTTCTATGTCCTGGTGTTGATCAATGCTGATTAATGCAGCTGAAGGGACATGGTGTGAAGGAGCCTTTACAGTCCTCCAAGATTAAATGGACCTTAACTGTACCACCTCTACTAGGTAGGCTTACATTGTTAATGTCTGAAAATGCCAGTTCTCTGGCTGCCATGTTTATCCGGTGATTCACTGGCCTGGAACAAGTATACAAGAGAAGCACTTTTTAAGGATTTCTGATCTCCCTGCAATTCGCTTGCTTGTTGCAGATTAGAAGGGGTTAAAAAGACAAAGGTAGATTGGCAACTATCATTTTGAGAAGGAAAGTGATGCTAGCCTTCTTGTTTCTCCTGGTGCAGATTTCCTCTAAATCGGACAGCGAGGATGTAGATTTCTTTACTGGACCAACAAGGACATTCAGGAGGGGACAGAGTGAGGTGACGGGTTCTCTGGGACCTGGGAAATGGCAGAGATCTGTGAGCTTGCATGAGATGCCAGTATGTGTGCCAACGAGCCATAGGGCTGTGCCAGGTCCTGGATACCTGGGGAGCATTGTGCCCTGTCTACACATGTGCCCTCAGTAAAACTGTCCCCTGGGAATGTGTGATGTGGCAATCCCAGGAGGCAGCAGGGGTACTTATGTAATATTCCCCTAGGCGGGAATGCTAGAAGGGCCGCCTTGCAGTACAAAGACTGCACTTTACATAACCAATATTAATATTAAAACATTTTTCCACTTCTGTAATAGGGAGAGGGAGGAGCCAAAAAGGAACAGGTTCCTGTCATTGGTGAAGATCCACTTTAACGTATGTTGCAGTTCAGTTTGCTGACAGAAATGGTTCATGCACCTTTTTTGGTATGTTCTGTTGTGTTAGGCAGCCTAGTCAAATGCAATTCACCTACTCCTGACCACTGTACTGTGCATTACATATGACTGACTGCTGTACCTGTATTAGCTACTCCTGACCCTTGTACTGTGCATTACATACAACTGACATCTGTACTCTGTGTTACCTACTCCTGATACCTGCACTTTGCACTACCTGCTCCTAACCTCTGCACCGTACATTACATACTACTGACCTCTGCACTCTGTGTTACCTATTTCTGACCTCTGTACTGTGTGTTACATACTACTGACCTCTACTTTCTGTGTTACCTACTTCTGACCTCTGAACTCTGCATTACCTACTCCTGACCCCTGTACTGTGCATTACATATTACAGACCTCTATATTCTATGTTACCTACTCCTGACACCTGCACTCTGTACTACCTGCTCCTAACCTCTGTACTGTACATTACATACTACTGACCTCTACACTTTGTGTTACCTACTTCTGAATTCTGCATTACCTATTCTTGACCCCTGTACTGTGGATTACAAATTACAGACCTCTATATTCTATGTTACCTACTCCTGACACCTGCACTCTGTACTATCTGCTCTTAACCTCTGTACTGTACATTACATACTACTGTCCTCTGCACTTTGTTACCTGCTTCTGACTACTGCATTACCTATTCCTGACCTCTACTGTGCGTTACCTACTACTGACCTCAACTTTCTGTGTTACCTACTTCTAACCTCTGAACTCTGCATTACCTATTCCTGACCCCTGTACTGTGCATTACATATTACAGACCTCTATATCAGGGCTTGAAAAAGCCGCTCGCCCGCTCGCCAAATGTGAGGAGAAAAATTCCTCTGTGGTGAGCAGCTACGAGCGGTGAGCACAGATTAAGCATGGAGCGACTGCACCTGCGCTCCAAGCCTCAATGTGAAACCAAGTTCAGGTTTACAACTTCCAGTTTCTGGCTTCTGCGGCACCGCCGCGGAGGGGACAGGTGCAGGAGAGATCCGCTCTCCTCTGAGAGAAGACACCCTCTCCCCCGACGCGGGGGAATCGGGGGACAGTAAGTACTGTGTACAACATGTCCTATCACTATAATGGAGTACAGGGGAGCTGGGATATACATTACTGTATACATGTCATATCACTATAATGGAGTACAGGGGAGGGGGGATATACAGTACTGTATACACATCATATCACTATAATGGAGTACAGGGGAGGGGGGATATACATTACTGTGTACACGTCATATCACTATAATGGAGTACAGGGGAGCTGGGATATACATTACTGTGTACACGTCATATCACTATAATGGAGTACAGGGGAGGGGGATATACATTACTGTATACATGTCCTATCACTATAATGGAGTACAGGGGAGGGGGATATACAGTACTGTATACACGTCATATCACTATAATGAGTACAGGGGAGGGGGGATATACATTACTGTGTACACGTCATATCACTATAATGGAGTACAGGGGAGCTGGGATATACATTACTGTGTACACGTCATATCACTATAATGGAGTACAGGGGAGGAGGGATATACATTACTGTGTACACGTCATATCACTATAATGGAGTACAGGGGAGGGGGATATACAGTTGTGTCCAAAATTATTCAACCCCCAATGCTGTAAAGGGGTTTAGGGACATAGTGGAGGGGGGAATTGTATTCAGAATCAAATCCTACAAGGACGTTGTAACTACCCAAATGCAACTAAAATGACATCAATTGTTTATGTAATACAGTAGTAAATGGTTCTTATGTGGTTTCTTTCATTGCCACAATTATTCAACCCCTTAAAGACTACCACTCTGAAGAACAGAGGTTCATACAGGTGCTTTCCATCAGGTATTGAAAACACCTGTGGATGTCACCGAGCAGCAATCAAGCATAATAAGCACCAATAGGCAGCTTTAAAATGACTGTGATACTCAGCTCCTTCTAGACATTTACTGGTGTGGTTACAAACATGGTGAAGGCAAGAGAATGGTCCAGGAAGACAAGAGAAGAGGTGATTTCTCTTCACAGGAAGGGCAATGGCTATAAGAAGATTGCAAAGATGTTAAACATACCAAGAGACACCTTAGGAAGCATCATTCGCAAATTCAAGGCAAAGGGCACTGTTGAAACGCTACCTGGTCGTGGCAGAAAGAAGATGCTGACTTCGACTGCTGTGCGCTACCTGAAGCGTAGAGTGGAGAGACAGTCCCCGTGTGACTGCTGAGGAACTGAGAAAAGATTTGTCAGATGTGGGTACAGAAGTTTCAGCCCAGACAATAAGACGCACACTGCGTAATGAAGGCCTCCGTGCCAGAACTCCCAGGCGTACCCCCTTGCTGTCTCCAAAGAATAAGAAGAGTCGACTGCAGTATGCCAAAAGCCATGTGGACAAACCACAAAAGTTGGGGATGGGATAGTGTTCTGTGGACTGATGAAACAAAATTAGAACTGTTTGGGCCCATGGATCAACGCTATGTTTGGAGGAGGAAGAACAAGGCCTATGATGAAAAGAACACCTTGCCTACTGTGAAGCATGGTGGAGGGTCAATCATGCTTTGGGGCTGTTTTGCTTCTGCAGGTACAGGGAAGCTTCAGCGTGTGCAAGGTACCATGAATTCTCTTCAGTACCAGGAGATATTGGATGGAAACGTGATGCAGTCCGTCACACACCTGAGGCTTGGGAGACGTTGGACCTTTCAACAGGACAATGATCCCAAGCATACCTCCAAGTCCACTAGAGCATGGTTGCAGAGGAAAGGCTGGAACATTTTGGAGTGGCCATCGCAGTCACCAGACTTAAATCCGATTGAGAACCTCTGGTGGGACTTAAAGAAAGCAGTTGCAGTGCGCAAGCCTAAGAATGTGACTGAACTGGAGGCCTTTGCCCATGAAGAATGGGCGAAGATACCCGTAGATCGCTGCAAGACACTTGTGTCAAGCTATGCTTCACGTTTATCAAAGCTGTTATAACTGTAAAAGGATGCTGTACTAAGTACTAAGATTGAATGTCACTTGGGGGGTTGAATAAAACTGATAATGCTGTGAGCACAGAAAAGACATTTGTGGTTATTTCATTATAACTGTTATGTTATATTTGTCTGACCTACAAGTGCCTCTTTAATGTAAATGTAAGCAAGATGACTGAATGATCAAAAGCAATGTCAAACTGGCCAAAACACTCAATTTCAGTGGGGGTTGAATAATTTTGGACACAACTGTACATTACTGTGTACACGTCATATCACTATAATGGAGTACAGGGGAGGGGATATACATTACTGTATACACGTCCTATCACTATAATGGAGTACAGGGGAGGGGGATATACATTACTGTATACACGTCATATCACTATAATGGAGTACAGGGGAGGGGGATATACATACTGTATACATGTCATATTACTATAATGGAGTACAGGGGAGGAGGGATATACATTACTTTGTACAGTTTTATATTTTGGACTATTTATTCTAAAGAAAAATGTAATTTCATAAGCTTTAAGGGTGCGCGGTTGGGGGGCGGGCCGGGGGTAGGGTTTGGGGTGGATCGGGGGTGGGGTTGGGGGCAGACCTGGGCAAGGTTGGGTGGGGCAACTGGTGGCGAGTAAGTTTTGTGTGACCAGCTAGTAGGTCTGAACTCGAAATTTTAACCCCTGCTCTATATTCTATGTTACCTACTCCTGCCACCTGCACTCTGTACTACCTGCTCCTAACCTCTGTACTGTACATTACATACTACTGACCTCTACACTCTGTGCTGCCTACTTCTGACCTTTAAACTCTGCATTACCTATTCATGATCTCTGCACTGTGCGTTAGTTACTACTGACCTCTACTTTCTGTGTTACCTACTTCTGACCTCTGAACCCCGCATTACCTACTCCTGACCCCTGTACTCTGCATTGCATTGCATATTACAGACTTCTATATTCTATGTTACTACCTACTCCTGACCCCTGTACTCTGCATTGCATATTACAGACTTCTATATTCTATGTTACTTACTCCTGACTTTTGAAGTTTGCATTGCCTACTCCTGACCCCTGCACTTTGCATTACATACTCCTGACCCCTGTACTGTGCATTACAGTGGGGATCGAAAGTTTGGGCACCCCAGCTAAAAATTTGTAATAATGTGCATAAAGAAGCCAAGGAAAGACGGAAAACTCTCCAAAAGGCATCAAATTACAGATTAGACGTTCTTATAATATGTCAACAAAAGTTAGATTTTATTTCCATCATTTACACTTTCAAAATAACAGAAAACAAAAAAATGGCGTCTGCAAAAGTTTGGGCACCCTGCAGAGTTAATATCTTGTACTGCCCCCTTTGGCAAGTATCACAGCTTGTAAACGCTTTTTGTAGCAAGCCAAGAGTCTTTCAATTCTTGTTTGAGGTATCTTTGCCCATTCTTCCTTACAAAAGTCTTCCAGTTCTTTGAGATTTCTGGGCTGTCTGTCATGCACTGCTCTTTTAAGGTCTATCCATAGATTTTCAATTATGTTGAGGTCAGGAGATTGTGAAGGCCATGGCAAAACCTTCAGTTTACGCCTCTTGATGTAATCCCCCGTGGATTTCGAGGTGTGTTTAGGATCATTATCCATTTGTAGAAGCCATCCTCTCTTTAACTTCAGCTTTTTCACAGATGGCATCAAGTTACCATCCAAAATTTGCTGAAATTTTGTTGAATCCATTTTTCCTTCTACTCGTGAGATGTTCCCTGTGCCACTGGCTGCAACACAACCCCAAAGCATGATTGATCCAACCCCATGCTTAACAGTTGGACAGAGGTTGTTTTCATTAAATTCTGTGCCCCTTCTTCTCCAAAGTACCTTTGCTCATTCCAGCCAAAAAGTTCAATTTTAACCTCATCGGTCCACAGAACTTGTTTCCAAAATGCATCAGGCTTGTCTATATGTTCATTTGCAAAGTTCAAACGATGATTTTTGTGGCGAGGACGTAGAAGAGGTTTTCTTCTGATGACTCTTCCATGAAGACCATATTTGTACAAGTATCTCTTTATAGTGGAATAGTGTACCACAACTCCAGTGTCTGCCAGATCTTTCTGGAGGGATCATGCAGTCAAACGTGGGTTTTGAATTGTTTTTCTCACAATCCTGCGAGCTGTTCTGTCTGATATTTTTCCTGGTCTTCCAGATGTTGCTTTAACTTCCACTGTTCCTGATGACTGCCATTTCTTAATTACATTCCGAACAGAGGATATTGACATCTGAAAATGCTTTGCTATCTTCTTATAGCCTTCTCCAGCTTTGTGAGCGTCAACTATTTTCAGTTTCAGTTTTCTAGACAACTGCTTAGAAGAACCCATGGTGCTGATTGTTGGGGCAAGGTAAGATGAATCTGGGCATTTAAAACCTTTGAGATTGACATCACCTGGTCTTCCCAGACGATGATTGAGAACAATCCATGACACTGGCAGGTCTCAGCTTGGCAAAGGAGGCAGTGCATGCTATAAATTCTGCAGGGTGCCCGAACTTTTGCAGACGCCATTTTTTTGTTTTCTGTTATTTTGAAAGTGTAAATGATGGAAATAAAATCTAACTTTTGTTGACATATTATAAGAATGTCTAATCTGTAATTTGATGCCTTTTGGAGATTTTTCCATCTTTCCTTGGCTTCTTTATGCACATTAATACAAATTTTTAGCTGGGGTGCCCAAACTTTCGATCCCCACTGTACATATCTCTACACTTTGTATTACCTACTTCTGACCTCTGAGCTTTGCATTACCTACTCCTAACGACTGCACTGTGCATTACTTGCTACAGACCTCTGTACTCTGTTTACCCAATCCTGACCTCTGAACTACGCATTACCTATTCCTGATCCCAGGTTTGACAAAACTGAGTTTTATAGAACATGTATTTAGCTCATTACATGAAAGTAAGGTTAATAATATAACTTAGATTACAAAATCTTCAGTTTTACTCAAATTACTTGATGCAAAAATGCATACACCCCACAACACAAACTCCTCCATCTAGTATTTTGTATTACCTCCATGATTTGTAAGGACAGCCCCAAGTCTTCTAGGCATGGAATGAACAAATGGTGACATATTGCAACATCGATCTTTTTCCATTCTTCAAGAACAAC